ATTATAAATTATTTGTGACATTTCTTTTCTTATCAATAATTATTAATATTTATATATACATATATAAGTTTTCTAACAATGTCTTTAAGTATTTAAATAACATATATATGTGAGGTGAAACATAGTTATTTAGTTAACAAAATATAAACAATTTTTAATACAATTGTAATGAATGCTATAAGTTTAAGAATAACAATAACATTTATGATTATTTATATTCACATATAAAAATTGTGGTTTGTATGATATGTTTTATTTAATTTTAATTTTAAAATTCTATAATAAAAATTTATATTAGAGAGAGTAATATGACAGTTCATATTTGGATATGAGAGAGTGAATATAACAGTTCATATTCATTTAACACTCATTCCAATTTGCCTGAAGATCCTCATTGATCTTCAAATCACAAGACACTCCTTGCAGTCCACAAGCTGATCAACAACAGTTCGATTGGAGAGTTCTGAACAACATTCTTATTCAGTCTCTACGGCACCTCTTCCCATCCACCTGATGATCCTCGAGTATGATCCTGGGAGAGTCACAATCGATGAGTTCGCCACGCAAAATCACCGGGATGAAACTTGAAAGAGTCTAGCGGACAGGCGGCTAACAGCCCAGAACCGGTCCTGGATAGAATTGGATGTGGTATACGTGTAGCATCCACCCGAGGTCCTAGGCTTCTACCGCCTAACAGGGTGAAGTTGGTGCTCTGTAAAGCGCATGCGCGAATCTGGCTTTTTGGATGCTGACAATACAGCGCTTCCACTCCGCCACTAATATTCGAATACACAATAGCAATCTTGTTTTTTTTCACGTGTAATATAGAAATTTGTAATAAGATACATAATGCGGTTATAATAAAATATTGTGCGATTATTTTCATGTAATTAAAATTAATATGTATTTATTTTTTAGAAAATACAAGGGAAGCGGCGCATCCAGCGCTTCCAATGATGGCACGCCACTGATGTGTCTGCTTACCGAGATTACACTGTAAATCCAATTGTGGGTATAGAAATACGTATTTACTAAATTTATTCATTTAACTATTTAAGTCTCTCTCCCTTTTCAATATTCTCGCGCGTTTATAAATACAAAAATCACGTGATTTTCAGTACAGACCGAAAGTTTGTATATAGTTAATCGGGCCTCCGACCACTAAGCTTTCCATATCCGATCTCGATTTTCATCTATCCAACTCCGTTCTCGAGATTAACGAAAGTCAGTGGGAATGTATAGTTCTGCAATTTGAAAGGCAACTCAATAATTTAAAATTGCTTCCTTATTTTCTCGAAACTGCGAAGATTTTATTATTATTACGTACAGAATTAACTTCTCATACACTTTACTCGACTTTAAATATTTCATGCTTAAAAATTATCATCGTCTGTCCTTGTCAGTCAAGATGAATTACAGTAATGTGAAAATATCCCTAATTAATTTTAAAAGCAGCGATATACAACGAGCTAGAATATACTACATAGAATGGCTGTGACCATAGTTACAGCGCTCTTGGTGGCAACGACGGGTACTATCGACGAGTTAAAATACTCTAGCTCGTTGCCTTTACACAACACAAATATTACGCTCTTTTGACTAAAAGGAAAATGCGGACGTGTTTTCTATTTTCCTCAAACATGGCGTCACTTCAGTTACTCTATGTAGTATATTTTAGCTCATTAAGAAAATATTTTATCACGTAAAAGAAACAGTTCTTAAATGAATTAGAGCACGTTCACAAGAGTAACTTTTAGTCGCTTTGTCACTGCTACAAAAAGTCATTGGAATTAGAACAGCAGAATACTTCAACAGAGTTGACCACACTAGCTGCAATAAAGATTCTATTCTAGTCGCTATTGCTTGCAACTAGACTGACGTAACCAATGGAACGCACGATGTTATTCGTGACAATTCAAATGAGCGATTATTTTATTGTCAACTCCCACCTGCACTTCTTGTGATCTTTTTTCTCTTTTGCTCCAATGAAGTTTTTCACGTCATCACAATCACGTGATCTATAGAAAACACATTTGTTGTTTCTCATTTTTTAAAACATATGTTTTATCAAACTCTCCCTTCGATCGTCACCTGGCCTATCAATGGCCAGGTGACGATCATATATCTCTTTGTATTCAGTTCTTACTGAGCCACACAAGAAGTGAAATACACACAAGCTCTACAAAATGTATTTTCATACTGAAAACTGGAAAGTCTAAGATATTTCTTAGTCAAAGCTGCAATCTGTAGCTTGTGTGAATGCTTACATGATCGGCAATGCTTCTGTTGCAGATACGTATTTGTTGATCGTATGGTTGGTTATGCAATTAATCATAAGCAGCAGCAACTAGCAATTTTTTTGTGCATGACTAAGTTGCTCATGTGAATGCGCTGTTATAAATATTTAAAATCAGCAAAACTGTGCTTATTTATGTAATTAAGACTTTAATGCGACTGTCAACGAGGTAATACATGGAAGACATAGTTTGTAAAAATGAACTGATGAAAATACCAAGGTGCTGTAACAATTAAAGGGATGTAAATAGGCATCTGGGACAGACCGACCACAGAAGATTCCTGGGTTGGAGACACTGCAGTTTGAAATTGTACCAATGTCAACCAATCCTCCGGGTCGTTAGAATTTGATGACAGGGGATGCAAATTAACAATATGTAAAATTAAATTAATATGCCTCAATGTCCTTAATTTATTCAAATATTCTTTCAATCACCAGTACAGTGTGTATTTCTATTAATAGGACTTATTAAACTGGTATATAAGATTACTGCAAATCAGTCACACAGATTAAAATTGTTTTATTTACATTTATCTGGACACATACATATTGCGTTTCGGACTTTTATGTCCCTCTTCAGCAGGTATTTAACTAATAAATTCTACATAAAAATTAAAACAATAAACAAATTTAATTTTCCGACAATATATTTTTTAAAATATGCCGACTATAATAAAATATAAAATCCTTACAATTTTGATGTTCTTTCTTTCTATTCCAATTTCCATACAATAATTCAGTTTAATTACTATTAACAATAACTTTAACACATTCCTATATTAAACCATAAATTATTACTTTAAACGATAACATTTTACTTATTTCTACATTTAAGACTAATCTCAAACTTACATCTCAACTTGTTGTTCCTCACTTACACTTTGTTTTGCCCTATCTCTATAGTTCTCTTTATACGTCAATCTTGTGTTTCGTTCTATGAATCTTCTCCATGATTGGTGTATTTCTCTTCCGGTATTATTATTTATTCTATTGTTTTGTTTAATTATATTAATATGTTCGTATAGTTGACGTTTATAATTATTTTTTTCTTTTTTTCTTATTTTTACTGAATTTAATACTATTTCACATCCTGTTGAATTGCAGTGTTCAGCTACTACTGAATTTGCATAATTTTCCCGTATTGCTCTAATATGTTCACTTAATCTTATTTTTAATTTTCTTTTTGTTTCACCAATATATGTTTTTTCCGGATTACAATTACAATTAAAAGAATACACTACTCCCTTTTCTTCGGTTATATCATATTTTCCTTTATTTCTATAACATAGATGTTTCTTCGTTGTATTAACTTTTTCTGGTATTATATTAATTTTATTATCTAATATTGTTAATGTATGTGTCCAGGTAAATGTAAATAAAACAATTTTAATCTGTGTGACTGATTTGCTGTAATTTTATATACCAGTTTAATAAGTCCTATTAATAGAAATACACACTGTACTGGTGATTGAAAGAATATTTTAATAATATGTGACTTTATTTCCAGATTAGAAAACTTTTCCGGACTAGAAAATATTATTATGATTCAACAATTCTATTCAGAAATGACAGTTTACATTGGCTAACCTCAAAACTCAGATGTGACCCAAAGTCTTGGATTTGACAGAAGAATGCTTATTGAACAGACTTTCAAATAAGCAGAGAATCATTTCCTTTGGACATTATGTATTAATCTTCTTCACCACATTTGCGATTTTATCAGTGGACTGAAAACTCATTGATAAATTATGAATTATATTTAAAATAATAGTTCTGGAAGTGGAGGTCAGACATGAGGCTCTGGACGGGTCCAAACCCTCACTAAAATTAGCATTAAAATAATTTTGTTTTAAAGAAAAAATATAGTAGTTAGAAATAGATTTTTTTATGAAAACGTGACGCCTACTTTTAAGCAATAGAAGAATGTAAGTCCGTCGACCATATCCGGTTGGAGATCGAATTAAACGTCGATTTTGACCTCTCCGCGCCCCCGAAAGGTTTCGAATTGTCACCAATGGGAAAATGGAATCGGAGGAAAACGGATAAAACCCCGGACATTCAAGGACGCGAGGGCTTCTTCTCCCGGAAGTTTCAAGTGACGGATCTATTGTTGTGTGTCTCGTGCCCATCTTCGTCTCCATCTCCCGACCTCGGATCGACATCTTTACATCAACGGAAGTCGGAAGTCGACCGCATCGTCCCGGAGTCGTCGATGGAATTGTTCATTCGCGATCAAGGGACACTCTTTCAAAATGGGACTATCTTGGAAAGGAGAGAAAGACCCAGAGGTCGCAGCCGACGTAGAACTTCCAACATCGCGGAAATCTTGTAAACTTCTTTCGTGTTTAATAAACGGGTTGTGTTGTTGTAAACGAGGCATCTATCTCTGACTCAACTGCTTCCACTTGTCGTTGATTGTTACCGCTCTGCAGTCCAGAGGGCAAAGGAGACGATGACGATATATATATCATCGTTAATTACGTTTTTTAAATTTCTCCCCCCTTCGGCCCCACAGACAGAGATCCTGGTAGTGTAACCAGAAACGCATCTGCACAGTATGCAGATGCGTTTCTGGACTCAAACCCACAACTCCCACAAGTTGGAGTTGTGGGTTTGAGTCCCACAACTCGCGGGAGTTGTGGGTTTGAGTCCCACTTCGGGACAATTCTTTTGTTCCAGAAATTCTGAAAGTATTGATACTTTATATAATTACTAAAATTGTAACGAGATGGTGGCCTAACCACCTACCTCTAGACATATTGCTTTGTATCTAATTATTAACTTAGCCTTATTATAGTCCAACAATTTGGTAGATCATTTGGTTTTAAAATCTGAAATTATTCCATTTTCTAAAGAATTTCATAACTTCTAGCAATCATTAATGGTTATATTGTAAACTACAGACGGAATATGTATATTAGAAATAATTTATTTCTTAGCATATTAAAACAAATTTCTAAATAAAAATTACATCTTATTCTTAAAATAAGAACATAAACTTTAAATATAACATTATGATGGACTAGTACAGTTTGCATTCTTTAACAATTGCAGCATTTGTTAGTCATGACAATGGACAGTTTTCTTAATTCTTAATTTAAGCAGTTCTCATCCAAATAATTTTCTCATCAATAAATTATAAATTGCCTATTAATAAAACTAAGCCATTCTTTTGTTGTATTTTATTCCTAAAAGGATGTATTAAAATTAAATATAGCAAAAAATAGGATGTCTTCAACAATGATCAATGAATCGCTATCAGACCGGATTCAAATAATTTCTGTATCTTGGCAGCAATGTCTGGATTTTTCAAATGTCTGAAAATGTAATACAAATGCATTAATACAGTATAAACATTTTATTTAAAAAAAGCATGTGTTTAAAATACTTTCTTATAATGAATTGACTAGGCATGGTTTGTTTTCTGCCAGAACGTGAACCAAGAATTGAGTCAAAAGCGCTAGCAAGTCGATAATATTGTTTCAAGGGGCCATCTACAACCATACTTGCCATTACCGTGGCAGCAACATTGCTGCTGGCATAAAAAAGAATTTTAAAATTGCACATGATTGTGCTAGCAAAATCAGACATTGTCACTTTGACTCCACTTCATTTCAAAAATGAAATCAGGACCTCCTATTTTTATTACATTTTTAATTTCCTTGTCTCACATTATGTAAAATGATGAAATTCAATTAAAACTAACCAATAAAATTTTGAGAACAAACTCAATTCTATAAACCCACTTATAAGAAACTGCTAATGCTCTGTCTCAATAATAACACTACAATCACAATATTTGTCAATGGAAAGACAAAAACATCACAAGAAGAAAAGCACTCTGTAATCATTATTCATTTATTCTTTTGCATTTTTCAAATTGATACACTGGTTTAGATGATCATTTCTAGTCTTCCAAGTGAATATATCAATTTGATTTGAAAGTATTTGTAGAATCAATGACAACAATTTGAAAATATGTTATGTACTGGAAAAGAAATACTATTACTGCTTAACTATTCTTCAGCACTTGAACTTCCAGTTTTTCAGATGAAAATTGAATAATTTCTTTCTCTACAAACATATCAATATGAAAAACAAATAACAACCAAAAATAGTCAAGAACATAGATATACAAATAATACCAAACATTTAATGTTCACCAATTGCCAACCAATTGATATTTTGATTTTGCATCCAGTTATATATATGTTTAATATAGATATAGAAAGAAAACGTACAACATCAGTACTGTAGCAAAGAAACAAAGTGTAAATATGGATATGATGAGATAATTTGGAATGAACTGAACTATGATTATTTTTTCCTGCATTTCATCATCATTAATTTGCTCATTACTGCATATCTTCAAATTTATGGAAGATTTAATATTTGTCATCTGTCAGAAATATTTGCTTTAAGAATGATCATCAGATTATCTTACTGATTTAGTTATTTTGTTTATTAATCAATTCGAATGGCACCTGATAGAATGTAAGAATACATCTGTGATCCAATCAAGATTAATATCAAGATTATGAATTATGAATGGCTAATTCATAATCAAGATTATGAATTAGCCAATCTTGTTTTGGAGAGAAATACAAGTAGATCTTACAATAATATGATTTTGTTCTTTATCTTGCAGAGACTATAGTAATAGATGTTTATCATGTGATCATAAACTTTAATATAAACAAATAAAATTCTCTCTTCATATATAAACATCTTAAACTCCATAGTTATGTATTAAAGCCAAATGATTGCCAATATTGGGAGTTGAGAGTTCGACAGTCCTAATTTGGGCTGATTCTTTTCTTCCAGAATCTTCTGATCTTCTAAATTAATTATTAAAATATTAATTATAATTATTAAATTCAGAAAGAGAAGGCATCTAATGCCTGCCTCTAGTGCCAAATTACTTAGCATTTAGTTAATAATAGTAGTAGTAATATAGTCTGATATAATCTGGCATCATTTGGCTTTAAATGAAATTATCATCTTTATTCTGAATTTATTTGCATTTATATTAATAGATAGAATAGGTCACATGTAAAATTTCATTATTATAATCAAAGAATACATAAACTTAAAGAAAAAAAAATGTTAACTTACTCTTGTAATGCTTTTGGATCACTTTGCATTTGTTCTAAAATAAGCCTCATTGCTGGATCTGCTAGTATTTTTTGAACTTCTGGATCTTCCATTGCGTGTCGTCTCACTTCTTCAGGATCTGCATTAGATGCTAATCTACATTTGCGATATAGATCTACTGCTTCCTGTTAAAACAAATATACTATTTACAATTCATGTTTTTACCATTATTTTATTTCCAAAATTTCATTTATTTTTAAATAATCACATGCATTACCTGACTATTTGGATCTAATTCGACTGCTTTCTGAAAAGCCACGGCAGCTTTACCATGTTCTTTTAATGCCATTAAAGCCATTCCTTTACGTATATAGCCTTTAACTGGAATAAGATTCATTTTTACACATAAATTTAGCAATAAATAATATGAAGTTTAATGAAAAAAATATTAATTTGGCCAATTTTCAATATTACCATGTAAATGATTAAAATAAATTATTCATATGTTAAAAATGAAACCTAATTAGTACTGTATTTATTTGAATATTCTGCACACTCAATTTTTTTCAAGATACTAGTTAAAAAAAAAAAAACTTGATCAATTTAATTTATCATATATTTTATTAATTTTATGATCGTAACAGAAGAGCAACCTTCATTCTTGCTGTTTTGCAGCATTCAATATGGCAGTGGTCAGTTTACAAGTCCACATGGTAGTAAAATAAAAATATACTTAGGGAAAAAAGTAAACTTTTTGTATAGCTGATAAAGATAAATTATCTGCAATTTTTAGTAACATATTAATATTTTATAAGGAATTAACTTATTAATTAAATGAAAATAAGACTTCTTTACTTTGTTTCATTTGAACTGAAAATGAAAAACTGTTAACAGACCAATAGCTTAAACTAAGTATTAATATAGATATAATGATTATTTACTGTCAGTCTCAATTGTATATTTAACTTGATTTATTTATTCTCATTTTCACAAAATTAGTCTCACAAAAACGTTTAATTATATTACTTGTAACTATCAATTACAGACAATCATTTTATTAAGCAAAGTCATCAAATTGATAAGAAAAATTTGTCACTAGCAAAGAAAGCAAAATGCTTAGAACCAACTATTCCATTGAAAGTTTTAATTCTTAAAAATATTTAATTCTATCCATGGTTAATTCCAAAGAGTAATTAACAAAGACCTTGGCCTGTAAATCCCAGCCATGTAATTTTTGTTTCTCTGACACAATTTGAAATTTTTCTTGGAATAATTTGTCATGCTCTGTGATGATCATTATGCTTTGAAGCAATTTTACTTATTTGTCTACATCTGAAATTTCAATTTCCCACTTTATTCAGGTTAAGTTAAATTCTTCATACCCAAAACCTCTTTCATTGCCTAATTGGACATATTTAAAATCAGTTTAGCATTATTATTCATGATTCAGCTGCTTTAAATAAAGTGACTGAATCACGATTAAAGATTCTGGACAGGTTTCTGGTTTTAATAAACTTTAACACAGAAAATTGCTTCATTCTAAAGAATTTTTTCCATTTAGGCAGGTTTCTGTTTTGGACAGGTTTTATTATAATAAATAAGCCTGAATTTTAATATCTAACTATCTAAAGCTGGAATTTAGATATTCTGAAAGTGAAAGTTGAAAGAGTAACTGTACATTAAGCAAAAGTAGCTGCTTATGGTCCAGCTCCAGGTCAAGCTTTTCCCCTAAAATTTTCTAATTATTTAATATTATTAATACAAGATGACAACTTAAACTTCAGACCTTTATTTAGCTTCATTAATATAATCTAAATGTGATAACAAATCACAATATAAAAACTGGCACTATTATGTAATAAGGCTGAAATTCATTTATCCATTTAAAACTCTGACAACTTTCCAACAAATACAAAGAAATAAAAAAATTAAATAAAAATTACAGCTCAAATTCCTTATTCATTAAGTAAAGAATAATACTAAGATTTATTATTAATGAATTTTAAGAAAACATTCTTCAAACTATCATTCAGTTTCTAGTTGAGAAAACTGATCTTTATTATTTCCATAGGGTCTGCTTTGTATGTGGGGAGATTGCAACTTCTTTTCCTTATTTTGTTAATTGAGAATTACTCATGATGAAAGAACATCACGAGTAATTTGCCAGTTAACAAAAAAAAGAAAAAGAAGTTGTGATTCCTGACATTCAAAAATACCCAATGAATTTTAAGAATCAAAACAAGTTTTGAAACAAATATTCATTTTTATTCCTAAAATTCATTTGTATTTCAATTTTGATATTATTTTAATCCAATGTACCTGAAGTTTATTAAGTAGTATAATTATGCTTTAAAAAATAAATAAAATTCATTCCGTTAAGTTTTATTTAATCCACTTTTAATTTATGAAACACTATTTACCAAATGAAGGATTTAATCGTATGCAATCTTCACAATCTCGAAGAGCCATTCTAAATTCTGCTAATTTTTGATAACAAGCTGCACGATTACTGTATAATTTTGCATCGTCAGGATTTCTTTGAATTGCTTCGGTGTAATGTTTAATAGCAGTTGGATAATCTCCTAAAAAAATAAATAAAATCATATTTATTACAATAAAAAAGTTATTTTAATAAATAGAAATGTATGTATATTATCAATACATTGCTGTAATATTCAAGTTTATATTGTGACTATCAAATTTGTTTAAATTGCAATAATCCCTATATTAAACAGTTAATGCATTCCATGAAATTGGAATACTAATCAATGCAGTTTAATTTAACTAAACTATCAAATTAATTAATTATTTAATTAATCTTAATATTTATAATTAACTGACAAATTAATCAAGACTTCCAAAATTCTTACTAACTTTCTACTGCCTCTTGACAACACAAATAATTTAAATTAAATTAGATAATTCTTTGAAATATAGCTGTTGATCCCAACAACAAAATAAAACAAATAATTTAATTTCATAATTTGTTGCTGATGTCTAAGTAGTTTTGTGACTAATGTATTTTTTATTTGGTTAAATTAGTTAATAATTATATTATTAACTAAATAAATTTAAAATTTCAAAATTTTTAATTCATGGTATCCCTTATGTAGTAATAATAAAATCTGGAATTAGAACCGTAAGTTTAGTTTTTTCTAATCTAATGATTATAAATTTCAAATTTATTTATTAGAAAAGGTATTGGTGAAGATTTTCTTTATAAAATATTAAATTTCCAAAAGATAAAAATTTCACAATATTCATCCCATCATTTGGCCGTGACAATTTTCTAGTGAGTAATTTCCCATAGACTAATTTAGAGAAAGTTGATCAGATGATTTGCTATACAAGCTAGCATTTCATTCAACATTGCAAGCTTGCTAAATGTATGTCAACTGCTTATAAAATATAAACTTACCCTCAAAAACATACCACATGAATTAAATTCTTACCTATGCTATTTGAAATCTATTATCAATTTATAAACTGCATTAATTTGAGAAATGTGTTAATTGAGGGTTATTGTAATCTGTTATTAAGAGTAACACATTCTGAAAAATTTATAAATTATACGTTTTTGTCTTTGAAAGAATAAACATTAAAAAAAATAATAAACTAATATAAGCAAACTTAAATTTTCATTGATATATGTGGTCTGTTTTCCTAAATAATTGCATATGTAAAATGCTTGCATGAGATTAATTACGTATGAGCAGAGATTAATTAAAAAATCATAGTAAATCACAGGTTAGATTCTACAATAATTTATCATATAAAACTTTGAAGTAATTTCAGTTTTCTATCTAACTTTGTATCATTTCTTTCTTTCTCTTCATTGGTGGAGATATATTACACTCATTTAAAAAATTAATTACAACATTAAAATAACATAAAATAGAATTGTTCTATAGAAGTGGTGTTTTTTATAGATTAGGCTGAGTAAAGATGTAACTTTGTAGATCAGTGTAGAAACTAGAAATAATTGCACTTTCACTATGACGTAGTAAATGGATAAATCAGTGTATATTCTTTTTTACTGCCCTCACTATAAGAATATCATGAGATTTATGTTTATGTGCATATTTTAATTTCAATAATATATGTATTAAAAAAATCCAAACATAAGCTATGTACATTTGAATTTGCATAAACTGAGAAACAAATTAATGCACTAATTGAAGTAAAACTAAGATAAATATGCTTTATTTTACTCACATTTATGAGTTTTCATAATCTTTTAAAAAATTTATATGTAATAATTGTTTTCTTTTATTGACATTTTCTAAAAAATGTGGAATATAAAAAAAAACACACTAATATTTGAAAATTTTCATAAGTTTAAAGATTTTATTTCTTCTATTGGTCTTAATGAAAATTTGTTTTAAAAATATTAAAATATTTATTCTATAAATATATTCAATAGAAATTTTTAATCAAAATACCTTTTTGAAAGCAATCATTGCCTATATTTTTTTCTTCAAGTGATTTTTCAGGATCTATATATGCTTTTCTTTCTTCTTCTTTAATAAGTTTTTCTACCTACATTAAAATATTATTAATTTTGAATATCTGTAATCTGCAATATCATAAATTACAGTAGTTACAATGTATTCTACAGCATTTGACAATTAATCAAAAGCTCTAACCATGAAACTCCTAATATTTACTTAGCAATCACAAGATCGACAATCATTCCTGTTATTGTAACAAAAGTGAGGAATCTCTGAAATGTTATTTGCTATTTTGGGTTACCAAAATACAAAGACTTTCTTCTTCTTTGATCTATTCTATACCATTTGATTTTATTAGTAAGTACTCATATTTTTCTTTTTAATTAACCTTAGATAATAAATCAACTAAAGACAGCAATAACTGAGATATTAATGAAATAAAATGAATCTATCTTGAGTTGTTAAAATAATCACAAATTAACTCAAAATTGTACATTGCAAACAATATGTGTTTGCAATGTACAATTTTGAGTTAATTTGCAATTATTTTAATATTTCGAGATAACATTAATTTTATTTTACTATTACATATCAGTATTTGTCCATAACAAATCTGATCTTAACTGTTTTCAATACATAAATAAAATGTATAATCTAATTTATAATCTTATTTTGACAGAGCCTTCACTTTATAAGTAAACAATCTATACAATTTTGTGAATATGTAAATTTTTTCTCCATCCAGAAAATTATGTCTGGCAATTAAGATTAAACAATTAATTCTATCAAGCCAACTTAGATTTGTAATGAAATAACAAATTTAAATGTACATTTATTATTATTTTCATCAAATTATAAATATATTTTTCACAGAAATGTTTGATGTACTATCCCTGCCTTATTTTAAACCAAAGTATTTTTAGAAGATAACATTTAACAGAACAAACTCAACAAATAATCAGATCATCAAAACACACCTTATGTTGCCGAGATAATTTTATTGAAGACTAACGTTTTTGGCATCTCATCATACCATTACTTATTATAGTATGAAACACATCTAATCGCATCTGTAAAATGTTCATATTGGTAACAACTACAGGTACACATTTTGTATAGATATAAATTCATTAATTTGTCATTGAAGTAAATTTAATTTGGAAAAAATTCAGTTCCAACAGCTGAAAGTCAAAAGCTAAAAAGAATTCATCTATTTTCTCTCCTTTGTTAATAGAACAAAGGAGAGAGAGAGTGATAAAAGATTTTTTCTAAATCAATTCTTTGTTGTTTAAATGACTTAAATAACAAAAGAAAACTGATAACATTATCAAACGTTACTTTGAAATTCTAAGGCTTTTTCGAAAATTAAAAGCAAAATATTTTGATCATTTGCAATTGTTACAACAAAACTATACAATAACTTTGATGATGATGAATTATATCATCATTATAATCATCAACAATAGAAATTTTCAAATTAACTAGATCAGACTTTTTAAAAATAATTATAATAAAGACAAATAATCAAGAGGTATCAATACCATTTTCATAATTCACACTTTAAAATTTCTAGTTTATTTTAAACTATTTTAAATAATAACAATGAAAAAAAATCATTACATTTGATAAATTTGAAAAATTCTTTTATTTGTATGAAATAAATATGCAAAATTATATTGCAATTGCAGACATACAATCAAAATTTATCTAATACTAAAAATCCATTTTAAAAATTTCATTTAAAAATATATAATTATTTGAAGATAAACACAAAAAATAATTTAAGGTTTTCTGTCCTTCTCATAGCACAGAAACACAATTAAACAAAAGCAGAGTTAATATTTCAGAAAAAAAGTAACAAAAGAAAACTGATAAAATCATCAAAGAAAAACAAAAGGCTCTTCCTCTCCTTTAAATTAAGGGTTATTTCACTTATGTTTCATTGTGTGCCTGAGTTCTGGATGATCATAATTAAACTACTACTATTCAACACTGTCTAGAAAGATATTTAGCAAACAAATGGAACCAAATTTGATATGGTGACATTTTGGGACATTCAGAAGACATTTCCTTAAAAATTTAGTACCAAAATGCACTGTGTCACTTTTGGCATTACAAGCAACAAATATTTTGTTTGTACAAGATACTCATGCTATATAGGGTTCTTACTAATGCATGGGATACTGCTCATGGCAGTCTTATTCTGGAGGTGATAAATAGTATGTTTAAAGGGCAATCATAATTAATTCTCTGATGTTTCTCACATGCAATATCCTATTGTTGTCCAAGGCTGCCAAATTTGCAACAAAGCTTTGATAACCACACTTTTTAAGTATCTCAACAAATGAAACCAATTTTTTGTTGCTTGCAGTGCCAAAAGTATTATAATGGCAAGTTTTAGTACTAATTCTTTTACAGAATTACAGAATTGTCTTCCATATGTTCTGAACTGTTGACATACAAAATTTGGTCACATTTGGACTGCTAAATATGTCTTTACATAGCACTGAATACAAGTTATTTATAATAATTACAATCACCCAATATAATAAATTAGAAGACTTCAACTTATTTTTTGTTTGTTTTCAAATTATACACATTTTTCAAAATTTATCTTTTTATAATTTCATTATTTGTTTGAATGTGACATTTGGTAATTTTCTAGATCAGCCAAAATTCATTCCTTATATAAAAAATGAATATAATTGCTCTAGAAAAAGTGCTGAATTTTAAATACAGATATGATTTTTTTCTGTTTTAACTTTTATGTAAAGACTAATATTGGACTTCCTGATGTTTATATATTTAAAAGCTAAAAGATAGATCACAGTTTTACCATACTTTTTAAACTAAATACATTTGATTCAATGTAAATATCTCAAAAGCCAAAAATCAATTTCTAACCAACAGTTACTGAAAACAATTTTAAAATTATAATGACAATGGCTAAGAAGTCTGCTACTTATTTCCGATTATAAGCAACAAGTATAAAAATAAACATTGATTTCTATATCAAGACTTAAATAATCTGTAGTTTAAACAAACATTTTAAAAATTTTTTGGAAGTACAGGTAACCCCCGTATAACACGGCACTTCTATAGCACGGATTCACTCTAACGGTTCGAGAATTGGGTAAAACCGTCATACAACAGGACATGTAATAAATTTTTACATACATAATAATAATAGTTCACGAAAATAATAATTTTCGTGAACTATTAGTACTTAAGTATGTAAATTTTCTCTTCTCGCCTTCTGTCGATACACGTGGTCCTTCTCGAAACTTGTTTCAATGTTGCCAGATCGCGACGCTTCTGCTTCTGATGTTGCCGAATGTTTTTCCCTTATTCCATACTTGCTTTATTCTTCATAAGTGCTTAGCACCATATAAGGAAATTTATAAAGACCTTTTAACTAGAAGCAAGCAATCTAAAATTACACACTTTTTGCAAAAGGTAAAGCATGGATCTGAAGATAATGCAGAAAAATGCTCAGAGGATAAGGATAACTTGCCAAAAAGAAAACGCTCTCGGTTAATTAATAGTGTTTTTAGTGATGACGAAGAAAACATTGTTTAATTTATATTAATATGTATCACTTAAAAAAATGTTAATGAAGATATTTATCTTAATTATGAAAATATACTAGCATGATTTTTAATTTTTGGAACCTAACCCTCCTTTTCGTATTAGTTCTTTGTTTCGTATAACACGGATTCGCATAACACGGCAATTTTTTGGAACGTAGCTACCGTGTTATACGGGGGTTACATGTATATGAATTATAAATAAAATTACTTTGTCTTTTATGTAAACCAATTAATAATATTTATCTTTACACACACAACTATAATTTTCAAGTTTATTGGCTTTTTAAATTCTTTCTGTTCTGTGGACACTAACAGGGTCTTTTCAGCAAACCCATTATGGATTTGACCAAGCTTATAATCAGACAGCTGTGTGGTGAGGGATGGGGCCAAACATATCCGAATGGACCACCTCCTGAAATATTCCCAAATTTTTCAACCTGTCTGGATCAATCCTGGGATCCCAGAGCCTAACTGCTCGTCCATCTGGTCATTGATCCATGCTAGCACCTTATTAATTAATTTGCATATACTAATTAATAAATTCAAACAAATTGTGTAATAAACATTCTACTCAAATATTTGTATTCAACTATTCATTTTAATTTTGATAACATTGGTAATAAGACACTTACGAAAGTGTCAAATTGATGCATTGAATATATTTGAAAAATAACTAAACATTTCATATTTTTTTATGTATTTAGCAATAATTTTTCTGAAAATGGATTGAAAAATTTCAGGTAATAATGGATTTGTTTTACTGTAATTGATTTCATTAAATTAATGTTGTTTTAAAAATATTAAAAGTCAAAAACCTTGTATCATTCAAGAGAAATTAAAAATAAATATTTTTCAGTTTAGAAAAATAGTCAATACTCTCAATTTTATTAGAATAATTATATAATATTAAAATATAATATAATAGAAATAATAATAGTAAGAGGATGAAGCAATAGTCATATGAATTATTTACAATATGTACATTTCTGTACAACTTTTGTCATACATATTCTAAAATTGAAATGATAAGATTAGCCTGGCACCTTAGCAAGGATGACATACAAAATTGTGAAGTGTTCCATATTTATATTTTTTTTATTAATTGAAGCTAGTTCTTTATATTCTGAATATGAAAAATTTCATTAAAAAAATGACTCTATAATGAATTTGTTTAGTCCGAATGATATATTCCAACAAATGCCATTTTATCAGCAAAAACGATATTGAAAACTGGGTATGAGAATGATTACTCACATATATCCTTCATAACTTGCATATTATAGTGTGTTAAAACAATTTCATAATTTTGTGAAAAATAACATCCATTTTTATTTCAATTATGTTTTTATCCAACATTTAGAGATATTAAAATTCATTATAATTACAGTAGACCCCCCTATAACATGGTAGATACATTCCGTGTTTTATGAATTCCGTGTTGTAAGAGTCACTTAAATACATGAGCCAATCACAGCCCGGCAGCGTGTACAGTTTGAAAGGTTTTCTTCCATAAAATTAATCGATTCTAGATTAAGTTGACTCAACATTTCCAAATCACGTATAATTTTTTGGAAATAATCCATATAAACTATGCTATAAACAAAAAATTGTAGGATTACTTACTGAGTGCGCACCGTTCAAAGACGCCATTGCTTAAGCGTTTTCGTCGCAGAGCAACTCATCGAACAGCGGGCGCGTGTTTCCTGATAAGTTATTTTTCTGCGAAAAATTCGCTGAACTTTGGAGACATCATTAACATAAATATAATTTTTATGAACGTTCAATAATAAATGGTTTTTAGTAGGTCTGCTGCTCGTTGAAACTCAACAGTTTGTGCAATGTCCGCTATTGGTCTAGATTCGACCAATCCTGTCGCGACACGAGTCGGCAATGACGTTTTACCGTGTTATACGAGTCTCCTTTAGCGTGTTATGCGAACACGTTCGCAATTTTTCGCCGTGTTATACGAATCCGTGTTATATGAACCCATGTTATAGGGGTCTACTGTATTAATTTCAGACTAAAAAAGGAGTTACCAATTCAATTCCACTATAAATGTAAAAAGCTATGAAATTATGTCTTAAATGTACAATTTATATAATTTCAGGAATCACATGCTGTATTTCTTGAATATGTGAACAGTGAATATGTAAAAAACTCAAACTAGAATAAACTGATTTGATTTAAACTGAAAAAAAAAAGAAAAAATACAGTAAATATAGTAATATAGTGGGTGATCAGTTAACGAACAAATTGGATAATGAACACTTTCACGAAAGATTTTTATGATCGGACAATGAACACATGTTTGGATAATGAACACTTCACTGAATAAACACAAGAAGCGACGTAAAATAACAAATACCGATTGGTCTTCCTTTGTCTTCAGGCAACAATTCGAAACTTTTCAGAGCGCAGGAGATGTTGACATCAACGTTCTACCCAGTATATACTGATCGGATAGTATTCCCCTGAACTTTGAAACTCTCACTCGTAATTCCAGTCTTTTATATTTCCGACAGAAACAATTCTTTTACATTTTCTTCTGAAAATGAGGATTTATGCCAATATCTGCTATTAAAGATCTTTTGAAGAAGGAGGGATGTCAGAACAACGGTCTTAAAATGGCATCCAAACCAGGTTAATAGGCCTAGGGATCTCTACAATTACAATGCTATTAATTACTTCTGAAAAATCATGAAGACAGAAAAGCAATCGACATTGGACAGATTCTTTAACTCCCACAAACAGAAAAAACATGACTAATAAAAATGCAAGACTGTGTATATATTATTTTTATTATTACATATGAATAAACGTAGCAAGAAAGTATATATTTTTTATTTTTTTGGGGTCTCCAGAACGAATTAATCAAATTCCCATAGAAACCTATGGTAAATTGATAATCGGTTAACGAACAATTCGGATAGTGAACAAAGTCTTGGAACAAATTATGTTCGTTAACCGATCACCCACTGTATTAAAATTTCTTCTTTCTTTATATTTATCAATTCCCAAATACAAGATAGTGATGATAGCTGAGGTAGTTAAGGCAACAGCCTACAACTCTGGGGAAACTGGTATCAAATATGGACAAGCAACTCTAGAAATATTTCATGGATGGTCTACACATCCAACACATTTGGGATAGACTCCCAAATGAGTTGAACTTTAGGTTATGTCTGATATGGCAGCATCCAGCAATCGTGGGCAGAAAAAATCTTTGTATGTGCTTCCAGTTCATGAGCAACCCATCCAGAGTGGACACATATTATTAATTAATGAAATGGCAATGAGACAAGTTTGTCGAATGCTTGCAACTAAAAATAGTTTTTCATATTATATTACCAAAACATCTTACGATCAAAAGACAATATTTGTAAGAAATGTCAGTTTGGTGAATTTCACCATTTGTATCATGAAATAAAATCAAATATCAGCTTCTCTTCTTTTTTTGGAAGTGCAAGCAGTGGAAGTGACAATCAAACTTGTTTGGTAGTTGCTTCCTGAACACGCATGTAGAAGCATCATCTGGTGGTCACTGCACACTAAATGCAGTTACTCCAGACATGCACACATTCTTGTATTGGTTTGTCTGCTCTGCTTTGCAGTATGTTCATGCCCACAGTCACTGCCATGTAGGATGTACCCTTATCCCTCACTACTCAACGAGCCTCCCTTGGCATTGGATATTGTAGCTGAACCTTTTTCTTCACATCCTAATAAATGTGAAGAAAAAGGTTCTCTTAGTGCTCACAGGTCAGCAAAAGGAAAAAATGAAATAAACTTTATTCTGAAAAAATAATACCTACAAATAAATTTTCAAAAGCTAAACATAAAGCTACAATCATAATAATAATAATAATAATGCTTAAACTATTTGTTTCTTTTGTAAAAATGTTTCTTTCTAATAAAAAAACTGTTACATCTGAAAATAATTAATTTTTATATCATATTCTATAAAGAATTTGATATAATTATAGCAATATAAATAATAATTAATTTATATATTTAAATAAATCCAAAATTCTTACCTCAGAAAGTTTAGTTAAGATTTCAGGAGTCCTATGTTCAGCTAAGGCTTTCTGATAATATATTTTAGCTTCTTGTAATTTTTGCAAGTGACGATAAGCTAATGCAATGCGGGCATAAGCTCTGAAAAGTTGTTTCATTTTTTAAAATTATTTTATAGTAATTTCTAAGCAAAGCTCAAATATAAAAGCATTGAATTTATTTATTTACTTAGTTAACATTTAGTGTATTATACCTTGCTTATAATATTTTAATGATTAAATTGTACAAATATAAAAATAATTATAATCAAAAACAGACCTGTATATTTTCATGCACACACAAAAATGCTTTAAAAATATTAACAGATAAAAAATGTTTTTATATTGTACAGTATATGTTAAGTAATAGATAATTTTAAGTAAAACTGATCATCTTACAAATGTTTTTTTGTTTGTTTAATTCAGTGTAAATTCCTAATGTTCTTAAAAATAACATAATGAAATACAACCTTCTTCTATTAGTCTTAAAATTATAACACTCAGCAAACAGCTAAATTATAAGCCATAAGAAAGTGTGAAAAACTGCATATATGCCATTAAATTAATATTCTGAAAATGAAGTGTCAAAGTCACAGAAATAATTATTCATTATGCCATATACAAAGTGAGTCAAAAGTCACTTAACACATAAAACAATACTTATTTGGGCAGCAGAAATTTTGACAGGACAAACATTATATATGTTATATCTAGGTTAACAATATGCATGTCAACTGGACAGTAACCATCTTGAATTTATCTCAAAATTTTTAAATGAGAATGGAATCATGCACTATATGAAATGAGGTTAGAATTTTGAGAGGAGTGTAATGGTATGCTTATTTTCCATCTAATTTTAATTTATGAATAGTTATGAAACCAATTTCTCCTTTTCAGGTGTTATTGAACAAAACTGGGATACCACTACTGAGGAATGAACCTAGATCATCCTGAAGTCTGGAGACAGGCATTTATGATACCTATCTTCATAGCTTATCTTTGTGAGATAAGTCTCTTGAAACTTTTATGGCAAATGTGCAAGTACCACATGCAGCACAGGGTTTCCATGAGAATGTCATTGATTCTGTTTAAAGTTCTGCAAAATTTTCCTTATCCAATTCAGTTCTGCAAAATTTTCCTTAATCCAATTCAGTTCAATTAAAAGTTCTGCAAAATTTTCCTTATCCAATTCAGTTAATTTTTTAAGGGTATTAAGCACCTTTTACTTGCTCATCAGGTTAAAAAAAATTCTGAAGAAAAAACAAAAATACTATTTAAATTAGTTCTTGTTGTTATTTTTTTTAACTTTAAATGTAAGCTGCCTTTTATAAAAAACTTACATCATGCAGTATTCTTTTTTCTTCTCTGGTGTTTAAGTGTCTAGTAGATGAAACAACTGATGAATCTTTTTAACAAAATTTTTTATTAATTGTTTGACAAATGCATTTCAGGTTACTACCCCTGTTCAGTGTCATAAATTATAAATAAAAGTATAAGCCATAAAACAATAAAATAATATAACTTAAAACCAAAATTTATAATTACATAATCAATACTTCCTATGCATCAATTTAGTGCTTTCAATCACAAACTCTTACAAGACTACAAGTGAAATTTCTACACTGACTCTGTCCAATCTGAAACTGGTTCCTGCGGTGTTCACTTCTGACTTAAATTCGGTGATAATGACATCGTACCAACAATTATCAATCTGTATCCCCATATATTACAATTGATATTATTCTCATTTATTATTTCTACATGTTCTTAAATTTTTTTTTATACATGGTTTTTCTACATAGTTAATATTAACACAAATCATTATTACATTTACTATTTTTTTGTATGTTGATAGCACACTTAATCACTGTATCCTAGTTGTATCATGCCTAATGTAGTTTTATCCTCACTTGTAACTTACTTTCTATTTCTCCGATGTATAGGAAGAATCCCACAGATTATGTAATTACAAACTTTGGTTTCAAGTTATATTATTTTATTGTTTTATGGCTTTTACTTTTATTTGTAATTTATGGCACTGAAGTGAAGTAGTCATCACTCAAAATGCACTCATAATACTAGTGTAACAAAGATACAGTACATTTAAAATATCCAGAAAAAATCTAAATATAGTAATTAGAGGCTATCTATTAATTACATGTACAGTTTTTGAATCACTTATGACCTCTTCTATTCCTGTTCTGTAAAATGATGTATTTTGTTTTTTGGCAAATTCCCCTTTAATTATGTGTACAATAGTTCATAGACACCCTGACCAAATGAAGAAATGACAAAAAGTTTTGCAAATATTTCTTAACTGATAGTTAATTCACATGACTATTAAGAAGGCTTATAAAAGCAAATTCTTATACTACTAATACCACTAAAAAAAGTCTGCACAGACAATGCATTTACTCCCTCCCATCATGCACAATAATGTCATTGTCTATAACAGTGCTATTCAATCTATGGGTTGCGACCCCAAATGGGGTGGTGGAAAATTACCTTGTGGTCACACTGTTAAAATGTTTGAATACCATTGGTCTATAATAATGTACTTTTCATGATATTCTCTCTTTTTAAATTGTACACAAAATTAATGGATAGTCCCTTGCTTTTAAATGTTAATACGCCAAAACATTAAAATAAAAAAATTAAGAAATACATAGAAATTCTGATAGCAAACATACTTTTTAGTAATTTTTGGACAGTATTTAACTATCTGAAATGCTTTTATATATAAATAAAAGAGTGAATTTACTTATCTCATTTATTCATATATAAACATGGTGCCAAGTTTCGTAAATTCTTACATAATGCTTTTAAATATCATAACTTTTCAGTGTGGCATAGAATATCACATTCTCAAATACATTTATTTACATTATATTCAAGAATATAACATTCTACGAAAAAATCCACCGAAATATATGTTGTACAGAATGATCAAATGAACAGTTAACTTGTGAGGAATAAACTTGGTAATTTTAATTAAAGAATTTCAAATGTTATTCCTCAAGTCTGTAGTAAATGAATCTTCAAGAAATGTTTATTATATATAGCAAGGCAATAACAAGCATATCTGACTCAAAATATTGCCAAGTCTATTTCTAACAAACTTTTGTTTAATCATCTAATATTTAATTATTTATTTACAATTATTCAAATATGTTTACAAAAAGCCATTTGATCAGTTTGATAGTTATGTTGGCTTTATGATAACTACCATATTTTGATTAAAACTACACTAACCTCTATGTATATTTAAATAACTTATGTTAAATTATATATCAAATGTTTTAGATTCAATTTTAATAGTCAGAGTGATTTTATCTAAGATGTGGTTTGAATTTTAGTTAATTGTTCAGAGTCTGATGATGGAAATTGTTTTTGAAAACATTTAAAAACAGTAAAAACAGTGATGTGTAAGATTTGTTTTTAATATTTGAAATGTTTAAAACTCATTTTTTCTAATTAATGATTATAAAAGGAAATTACTAGTTAGATTACGTATTATTGTTACAATTGATTATAATTATTATTAGCAATTGATTATTAATATACACACCACTCCACACGGGGATATATGTACAGTACAACAGGCAGAACCGACTTCTGGTTCGTAAATACAAAAAACAAACATTGCACAAATGTTTGTGCAGGGTTTGTTTTTAGTATTATATACAACAGAAGTTGGTTCTGTGTCTGTTGTAAATTGATTATTAAGCTGATATAAAAAATTTCTCAAATCAATTTCAAGATTATCCAAAAAACTAGTTATTTTTTCAATTAAACAACAAACTTACTTTGCAATAATCTTAAAATCTGCTCTGTTTTCACGACCAACTTCTATAGCTTTCTCACATTCCTTTATACATTTCTCATATTCTTTCTGTTCAATATAAACAGCTGTAATGTGAAATTCAATAACTAAATTAATACTTAGTTTTATTTTTTTTTAAATTAATTTTCCTCTTATAGAGCAAGTAAAAGTATTCATCCTTAAAATTTATAAATATTACACAAAGCTACCAGAAAACTGTATTTAATTTAAATATTTATTTTGGATATCAATAGAGAATAGTTAAAAGTCTTACCAGCTTTATTAGTAAGAAAAGTCATATCAGTTGAATCTATTTCAATAGCTTTATCATAATGCTGTAATGCTAAATCAAAGTTTCTTTTTTTATAGGCTTCATTACCAGCAGTCTTCTCTTCTAGAGCCTAATATAATAAATTTTCTTAAATTATATTAAAATTGAAGACGATTATATTCACTTTTAATTATATAATAATATACTTTTAATTTCATATTATTTAAACAATAGCAAGTCTCTATTTATGTAAAAAATCTAGATTTTTTAAAATTGTAAACAAGAGTTGGCAACTAAACTGCAATCAATTAGACGTACCCTTTGATAATTTCTGGTTGATTTTTGCAGCCAGAAGAGAGATATTCTCCAACTGAATCACACATATATAGATTTTAATCATATATCATTAGATAGAGACATACATCATCTTTGTATCATTAATTTTAATAATGATTATTACTAAAATATTGTTAGTTTTGTAAAATCCACATAATTTTATTTTGCTAGATTTTTATTTACTTTTTTTTGATAGAAAGAAAGATATTTAATTTTTAAGTAACTGCAGGATGCTCTCAATAGATAAGGGCCTAAAATTTCTAATTTCTGGTGTACCCAAATTAACTTTTTATTATTAAATTTTATTATTTATTAATTACCTCCTTATAGTTAAAAATTGTCAAAGGTTTATCAGACTACAACTGATCTAATTAAATGATTTAAGAATTATAAAATTTAATCCAAATGAGTGCCGTAATTAATCAGGCTGTTAATATGCTATAAGTAATAATTAGAAACTAAGTAATTTGGTACTACTAAGCATCCATCTCTTATCACGCCTAACGTCTACCTACCTCTAGTACCAAATTACTTAGTTTCTAATTATTAATTATAGAATATTAATAGCCCGATTAATTACGACAATCATTTGGCTTAGTATTCAATACATTGGGTTTAGAGACGTTGATAATTATAAAATTTAAACTATTGATAGACACATCTTCATTTACTAAAAATATTAATTAATGGCTATATCTGGATGGACAAAAAGCCTACAAGTAAAGGTCAACTCTACTGTAAGAATGTTATTTCCTGATGAGTGAAGAGACAAAACAATAACATTTTAATGTATTGTCTTTTACTGAAAATTTTTTTATGTACTATAATTGAATTAGTTTAATTCTAATATATCTGAAAAACACATGCCTAGAGCAAGACTGAAACCTAAAAGTTTCATGTAATACATGATAATAATTTATAGTCTATAACTTATTCATGTTACATCATTCAGAATCAGGATTTTGATCTAGAGACATATTTAAATTTAGGTTACAACCATAATAATTATTAATCATCAAACTGATTGGGAATAGTGATTGGGGGCTTCCAAATCAGATCTATCTGGATATGTCACAAGTATGTTTATCAAATATGTATTCACATTATAGAAAGCGTTGACAGTTCAAATTCCATAAGCAAATGTTTAGGCAGTAGGCAATTGAGACTATCAATTACCTACTGCCTAAACATTTGCTTAATATGGAATTTGAACTGTCAACTCTTTCTATAATGTGAATACATATTTGTAGAATTTATTCACAAAATATTTTTAATCTGTAGCCAAACTAATGATATATACTACATTTCAAAATAATGGAATGTTGTAATTATGAAAGCATGTTTGTTATTTTAAGTATTAATACTATATACTTAAAAGAACTCAACTGTGATGTCATCTATCTTTCTTTTTAGAAGTTCATTTAGAAAATCTTCTAAAGTAATCTCTTGTGGAGTACATGATAAATTCTTCATGTCATAATACTTTGAGCTCTGGGCCTCACTCAATCTACAGTCTATAACTTATTCATGTAAGTCGTTTAAATGCATTTCAGTAGAATAAATACAATACTCTTAAATAGATTTTTGAATTTAATGCACATTACTCATGGACATTGTTCTAGAATCTTATAATTTTATAATTGTCAAAAAAATTTCTGCTAATGCTTGATATTAAATTTGATATTAAATGTTTTAGTTTCTTAACTATATAACCAACACTTTATATTGCAATAATTTTTTAAATCCAGGAAGAACATTATAACAAAGTATTGCAATCCTGATTCCAAACTGAAAATCAATTTACTTAGTTTCAATAAAACCTATCAATAATTCATTTGCATTCTATATTAGCTTTATATCATTATTTATATACTGAACAGTACAGAAAGTCAACAGTATAATCTCTCAATGCTACCTGATTACTTTGAACAGCATGATATCTTAATGAGTCATGCTGTTCTATTAAAAAAATAAAACAATCTAAAATGAATCCAGTTCATGTTATGTAATTAATTTTTAATATAATAATTAATATAAACATTTTTACATTTATATATTTTCGTATAGATTAAAAAGTAGGAATATTTTAGCTAAATATTAATATTCTCATAGTTTATTGATTTTCTTGTAAAAACTTCACTGCTTGACACATGACAGGGATTTGCTTCAGTGATTATTTGTTATGTGCTTAATTACTTTTTCTTCATAGACATGTAATTATATAATACTAAATATATATATATATTTTTTTTTATTAAAACATTTTACTTAAATATTAAATATTGTACATTCCTAACTAATAATGATAACTCACTACTCATCACACCAGATATACTAAAAAATTTACGTACCAGAACCATTTACGGTGTGATCACGTAAAAAAATTGATAAACAAACTGTTTGGAACCTGAAGCAGAGCCCAGATGGGGTTCAAAAACGTTTGTTTATCAATCTTTTTATGTGATCACACTGTAAATGGTTCTGGTACGTAAATTTTTTATTGTACATTCTCTTGATAATTGTTAGAGTTATCGTGAGAGAGAATAACTATATTAATTACAAAAACTATATTAATTTTGTTAAATATTGATATTTGATGAATTTATTTTTTGAGTGGTATAAGCTTTTATAAATAAAAATATATATTTTTAGTTTTAGTTTTACTATTTTACTCAAACATATATATTTTTTAATTGATATACAGTAGAGCGTCGTTTATCCGAATCAATTGGAGATTGGGGTGGTTCGGATAACTTATTTTTCGGATAACGAATCATGTACAAAAAAATATCCATCCCATGTTGAAATTTCTCTCCATTGCGTGTCGCTTCGCGTTGAATTTTCGTCGATGTTAAGCCTAACGAACACTATTGTATCGTTAAAAATTATTTATTTTGTACAAACAAAATAAATTTATTGAAAAATATAAAAACAATAAAAAATTATACTCCAGATGTTAATTTAGTATCAAAAACGTAAAATATTTGAGTAGCCCGAGAAATAGCCGAAGATTGCAGCGCCACAGCACTAGCGAAAATTTAAATTTGCCGACTGGAATGCTTTCGGATAACGGACGTTTCGGATAACCAGCTTTTGGATAAACGACGCTCTACTGTAATTTATATGTTTTTGGTAAGACTCTACAATTCTACAGAAGATAATAATAAAGTAGCTAAGATAATTGTTTACTTCTACAATCACAGTCCAAGATCTAGAGTCAGAGTCAGATGTTAACCAATATGCTTCATGTATTAAATACTAATTAATTTACTTTATGTATGAAAATTTAACTGTACTTTAGGTAGATAAATTTAAGTACATTATAATTTAACATTCAACTTCAACTCTTCATCTTAGATTTTAGATATTGTATGAATGAATAACAGTAAGAAAATAGAAATAAATAGATGATACAAACAGAACAAATGAGTACATAGCAAAAGATCTGACAAGTAAATATATCAAATAACATTCAAATAATATTACAAAAAGCAATAGTACTTAAATAAAAAGGATATGATACAATAAGAAATAGTATAGTATTAGAATAGCAGTCACAAAATATACTTTAAAGTACAAACAAAGTATACATAGTATGTAGAGGTCATTAGAAAAACAATATTAAAATACAGTAGAGCGTCGATTTTCCGAAAGTCAATCATCCGAAAGATTTCCAGTCGGCAAATTTAAATTTTTGCCAGTGCTGTGGAGCTTCAATCTTTGGCTATGTCTTGGGCTACTCAAATATTTTACGTTTTTGATACTAAATTAACATCTGAAGTATAATTTTTTTTATTGTTTTTATATTTTTCAATATATTTATTTTGTTTGTACAAAATAAAAAAATAATTTTTAACAATACAATAGTCTTTGTTAGGCTTAACATCGACAAAAATTCAACGCAAAGCGACACGCAACGGAGAAAAATTTCAACATCGGATGCATTAAACTATTTTTTCGTACACAGATCGGTTATCTGAAATATCAGTTATACAAACAACCCCAGTCCCCAATTGATTCGGAAAATTGACGCTCTACTGTAGTCAGTATAATTGAAACATTCAATATAATGTCCAGTTAGATAACTGTATTTTAATCTATCAACTTTAAAAAATTTACACTGAAATAAAATAATGTCTGTGAATTATCCTGCAGATTTTTGCATTTATTAAATGTTAAACAAAGTTAATATATATTAACTGTTTTCATTATTAGTTATTCCAAATTGCTGATAAACAATTCCTTCAATTAATTATTTATTGAGAATTCAACATTATGATTCAACTTCAATTCTTTAAATTGATTTTTCAAGTATTATTATTAAGCAATCATTCAATAATCATAAATAAGTTATATTGCATAAGTCTATATCTTCATCATCATGAAAAGATAACTTGATGTTCATTATTCTCAATATAAATTCCTTAACAAGGAAGGATATATAGCATGAAATTTTAAAGATAAATTTTTCTTTACAGAATAATTTTTTTGCATTTTTATAAAATTTTTACATTTTTTATTAAACTCTTTATATAATATTCTGTGTGTCTGTAGAAAAATTAATCTAAAAAATTAATAATATATGTATAATCTATAATGTAATATAATGTAGACTATATATATATAGTCTACAAACAGAATATTATATATCTATAAAGAGTTTAGTAAAATTCTTTCATTTGGTATCAAACAGAAAGAATTATATAATATAATTCTTACTGTTTTGTACTAAATGAATTAAACTATTTTTATTTACAGTATGGGATCCAGAAGTCCTTCAACATAGTAGTCATTTGCAGTGGAAAGAATTAAACTTTTCTTTATTTTTTATGCAAAGGTGAACTGAGTTTTTTCTCTCCAACTGTTTTCAGTTTTTGTTTATGTATGCATGTATTTATTATTAATATACATTTATTTATAAACAGTACTATTATTTAAGTTTTGATGCTTTTACAGTATAAAATTTTATATATCAGCAAATATTATTAACATTTAAAATATGAAGTACTAAACATTAAAAAACAAAATAAAATTACAATAAAATACTCATTAAATGAAGATTATACAGTTTTGTTGTCAAGGTTATTTAAGTTTTTGGGGTATTTTCTGAGTGCTGAATTGAAAAATGACATTAGTTTTGTTGAATTGGCTTGTTTTTGAGCTAACAGATACTGGATAAATATGGTGTAGCCTGTCTTTTTACAATTTAACATTACTTTTATAAAATGTAATCTTTAATCTAATTGTATCTTTAACAATGTTTGGAAAGTTTATCCATTGTAAATAATAACAATTATTGCACATATTTCTGCTAAAGCAAAGGAAAAACATCACTGACTTTGTAAAACAAGAGTATCTTGTTTATTTATTGGAGTAAAGCTTGGAGTTAAAGATAAATCCTAATCCTGGGCTCCCCAAAAGGTTTGTAAATCCTGTGTAGAATGTCTATGACAGTGAAAAAAAGGAAAAGTTTAAACTTTGGTATGGCTACGGTGTGAAGAGGGCAGCAGAACCACCATGAGAATTGTTATTTTTGTGTTGTGAAAGTGAAAAGCTCCAACTACTATAAGAAACATAAGTGGGAGTATCTTGATTTAGAATCAGCAAGGCAACCTGTATCATACAGCAAAGATGTTCCTATACTAGTGTTTACTTCACTGTCTGACCTTCCATTGTCAGGTGTAGAAATGAAAGACTTGGAGTACAGTGAAAGTGAATATGAAGGAAGCTTTTCAACAACTCCACAGTTCTCCCAAAAAGAACTCAATGATCTGATATGAGACCCCAGTCTGTCAAAGCAAACATCTGAACTTTTAGCATCCAGGTAAAAAAAACTAAAGCCAGAAGTGAAAATAACAGCTTATTAGACAAAACAGGATGGAATTTTTCCATGCTTCAGCCAACATGAAGAATTTTAATATTGCAACAACATTCCTAGCTTATTCTCCAAATGTCAACCAGAAGATTAACCATTTTTTATAGACAGCTCCTCCAAAAGCTTAAAATATACTTTATTGAACAATGGTAACTTCTATGCATTTTTTTCCAATTATTCACACAACAAAACTTAAAGAAAAATATATAAATATCAATAGTACCGCAGAAGCTCTGCTATCATGATCACCAATGGTATATTTGTGTTGATAAAAAGATTCTTGGACAGCAAAATGGATACACAAAGTACCCTTATTTCATCTGCTTGTAGGAAAGTAGGGCAAAGCAAGATCATTGGAATAAAATGACATAGCCTTCAAAGGAAACCTTGTCAGTAGATGCAGTGAACATCAATGATGAGCCATTGGTTAACAGAGAAAAACAATCATTCTCATCTCTCCATATCAATCTAGGACTGATAAAGCAATTTTTAAAGTCTTAAACAAATATGGTAATGGCTTCAAATATATTTGTAGATAATTCCCTGAAATGAGTGTGAAAAATAAAAGCAGAAGTCTTTGATATCATAATTTGTAAATTTACCAGCAATTCAAATTTCATAAAAGTTATAATGGATGTTAAAGCTTCTGCATAGTGCAATTAGGCCTATGTCTCAGTTGTGAAGAAGTTCTTAGGTTAACATAAACCATACACTTATATAAAAAATTGGTGCAAAATGTGCTTGAAAACTTAAAAATTTGAATACTAATATGACCATAAAGGTACACTTTCTTTATAGCCATTGATATGGATTCTCAGATAATTTTGAACATGGTGAAAGGTTCCACCAGGATATCAGATGGGACAGACATGAGAGTAAACTACTGCTGGAGAATGTCTTTGATGACTTTCATAAAAGAAAATCATACAGAAAGTGTTTTTCTATGAATTAAGTGTGATTTAAATGAATAAGCTTACTTAGTTTTTATGTTATTGTTCTGAATACAATTCCATCAGGTATTTCATGTGTTTACTTTGTTTGATGTGAGACAATTTCTGTGTGATTTGTAAGTAGGTTATGCCTGACCATTACATCTTTTACATTTTTTATGTTTTTTAATGAGACATACAATCTCAAAACCTGGAGCCAATCTAGCCAAACTAATGCCATATTCAGAATCAGTAACACAAAGTTCTCCTAAAATTGCTGTAATAAATTGGCAATAATATTAATATTGACCAGTGTTATTTTGACTAGATACCATATCTAGCTTACTTTCATCAGAATTATTTGAATTCACTGTTTTTTAAAAAATAAACTGTATCAATAGTATCTGAGGCTAAATTAGTGCATTTCTGAACTCAGCTGCAAACAATTGAAGCATTTAACATTGTCTTTCCTAAACTGTGCCAACTACTAACATTGGCAATGATTTGTAAGTAAATTAAGAAAAATAATAGATTTTTTTAGTAATAAAATCTTAGTTCTGCTTTATTTTTTAAAACGAATTCAATAACAAATATTTATGTTGATTTTCTTTTTGAAACCGTGTCCTGTTTTATATTTGTGGCATAGTAAACACTGGTATTGTGTTTTATTCCTAAGACACATGGCAAATTTTCCATCAAATTCCTTTATTAGTTGACTTTATTAGTCAACTAATAAAGGAATTTGATGGAAAATTTGCCATGTGTCTTAGGAATAAAACACAATACTAGTGTTTACTACGCCACAAATATTTATGTATTAGCAACATTTTTAGATTTATCTTTATCTTCATACTCTAAGTTGTTCAAATAGCAACTTAAAAATTGTTGATGGATGACAATAATTCATAATTAGAGGCTACTATTCCTATTATTTTTCAAAATATACAAAAGTTTTGCTATTAATTGTTTTATATTCTTCAGTTATATAATGTTTAAATATAATTTAGAATCATTCAATTCCAAAACATTAAGAGAATATTTAATGCATAATTTTTCATTGTTGAGTATATGCTTTTCAACAATATATTTATACTATTAATACACATTTAAACTGCTTAATTCTGGTAACTAATAGATGTTTATTAAGGAACACTTTCAGCTCTGTATCAAGCCATCTTCAGCTTACATAAAAAATGGAATGTGCAACAATTTTAGAACAAAATTTACAATCATTTTGAAAATATAACCAAAATAAAGCAGTTTAACAGGTATTATTTCAATACCAATGCCAAATTTTATAAATTTTCATAATAAGCTATGATAATTAAAATAAAACAAAAAAATCTGTACATCATAAAATCTGAGAATGTATTTTATACAGACTTCAGAACATAAACAAGAATAGAGTTTATGTTTAAATTAAAACTTTCTCAGAATTCTTCATTTCATCCATTTAAAGTTAAATAAACAATTGTAAAAATATTTAACAAATACATAACACGAATAATTAACAGAGTATTAAAGTATAATATTTTTATCATAATACATTATTATTTACTCTTTTTTTTTTTTTTATTAAAGTAACAATGATTATTTTTATATTGTAGTATTTTTTAATGTTTCTTTGTCTTCCTGCTTTGTAATTCCCACGTTCTAGGTACTAACTTGTTTTGTTTTTTAATTACGGTGTGTGTTTTACAGACAGTCATCTCTGTCTTTTAATTAAGACAATATTTTTTCTGTGTAAAATAAACATGCAATAAATTAGCATAATGATGAAAATATGCAAAGCATTTGGATGTAAACATGCTTTAAAGTTTATGTATATGTATTAACTTTTCTTCTATATTTAAACGTACTGTACATGTTTGTTATTACTAGAATATTATTGGATCTAAACTTTCTCTGATAAGTCACGTGTTTACCATTAATAAATTTACCAAAGAGCACGTGGTTAACGTGATAAAAACGTACACATTTTAATTTTTTTTCTGGTATACAAATTCGAATTTTAATATTATAAAAATGGAAAAAATATTTAACGACAATAAATGTAAATTACAGAACACGAATAGCTATACCGAATGCTACAACCAATCAAAAAATTCGATAAAAACTGACGTCATTGATTTGGTCACTGAAGAAATTGTATATACATAAATACATTTATTTAAACAAATATTAAAAATATAAAATAGTACAACGAAGCAAAAATAGTTTATAAACTGTACAAAACTCACCCCTTTTTTTGCAGAATCTGCCATTTAATAAATATTTTTTTTTACAATGTTTAGAATCACGTTGAAGATCGAGCAGCACACACTGGATGAGAACCGATCGACCGCCCTCTAATGGTGAAAAATTTTCAAGTTTAATTTTGTAATTTATTTTTTAATAATAAAATATAAATAATTAATTATAGAATATATTTTAAAATTTTGTTAATTATAAGCCCGAATAAATTACGTGTAATAATAATATAAAGTAAACTTTAATCAATAACAAATTAAATAATTATGAAAATGTATCGATCTAGCGTGTTGTTGCTTCTTAATATATCTCTTAGCATTGCGGTTATTAATATGTACGGGAAGATCTATTAATGGAAAATTACATATTTTTTAAATTCCCGTTTTGGCATTTTTAATTATCAAATATAATTTTAGTTTAATTATATATTTACTTAATATGTTTAACTTAAAAGCTTGTCGCGTAAATTATTTTAATTATAAAACGATGCCAATTATCTCGCGTGCTTAGTTTTATGTATTTATGTATTGCAATAAAAAAATGGCTATTTATGCTTCTAAATAATTTTATATTCATTAGTTTCAATGATAAATTATTTTTAATGATTTATTGATTAATGTAATGTATTGATTAACCATTCGACACTTGATAACATTCAGCTGCCGTCGCTAAAGTTAGAACGGATATGATAAAAGGATAAACTAAAATTAATATATCCGACTGAACGTATACGTAAGAAAAACGATAAAGAAAATGTCGTCTTAAAACTTAATCTGTAAAACATATTTTAAAAATACAATATGCCCAAAACTTATTTAACTGTATTTCGCTAACAATCTAGCTAAATTGCGTAAAATTAGACAATTAAATTAAGTGAAAAATATCTAGTTTTTATAAACAATTTTCTTTCTTTAGCCTTTACAAGTAATTTTATAAACAAATTTATTCGTTTGGCTTTTCAACAGTTTAGCCTTTGTAACAGTTAACTGACTTTTAATCAGCCCGCGTATATAATCTGTACGTTTTTATATAGAAAATAAATTTATTTAAAATTTTAATAACATATTTTTTAAAAAAATATATTAAGAAATGCATTAATATCTTAAAAATCTTATAAGAAATTAATTAAAAGTTTCGAGCCATGAAAGAGGGATTAAAGTCTCCATATTAGTAAACCGCAGAGGAAATGGTATTAAGAAAAATCGGGAAAAGAATTAATTCAGAATTAAAAAAAAAAAGGTTCAGAAAGATGTAAGGAGGATGGTGGAAAAAATGTCTGGTGCTATCTCAAGGGAAAATCTAATTTTTTGATCTATCAATACAGTTAATGCGGATTATTAAACCAGCTTAATTTAATATAAAAGAAAATTCAGGCCAATTATAGACTTGATTATCATGTTCTCGTGTTTCTCAAAATATTATTATTATTATTTTTAAATCTATATTTATTAAAACTAGAAGAATAATATACAATGTGAAATATTTTGAATAAAGTATTGCTTGGCGCTCGTTTTTTGAGGATGAAATATATAAAATAAATAAAATTTTAATGTTATTTCTTGAAAAATAAACAGGATATATCAGGATATATATTATTCTGAAGGACATACTTTATATAAAATGTCTATCGCTTCCATTCTGCCATGGTTTATCGAAGCTGTAGGTATTATTCTATTGAAAATATGTGTATTAGAAATGCAATGATATATATTTTAAAAANGATTTTTACAAAATAAAGTATTGAATATTTATTATAATATATTTTATAATATTATTTTGCTATTTATTGCAAAAGTAATAACAAAATTTCGGGAATAACAAGTTATACAAATTATACTCTATAAAGATATTTTCGGTAGTGTGATATAATAAAACCGTACAAGTTTCTGATTGTGTTTTATTGCTGTTTTTCTTTATAACAAGTTAGCACTGGAATCACTTTTATGTAACTGTTTAATTAGTAAAATAAAAATAAAAATTTTCATTCCCTTCCACCAGATGGCAATAGATATTTAAAGTTAAAAATTAACATTTAATGAATTAATGTTTTGTTTTTAATTACATTAATATGCAATTTTAACTTATGAAAATAAATGTATCAAAAGCATAATGAATCTATTCTTTAAAATAAATTATGTAAATTATTAAAATTTTATAACATGTAAAAACTTTTAATTGAATTTCAAAACAAATAAAACAAATTCTTATAAAAACGTAATATAAATTTTAAAAATATAAATAATGAAATTCTGAAACTCAAAAATTTAATATTTTTAAACAGTCTGTCATTAAGAAAATCGAGACAACGCGAGATCTCGTCACACGTGTTTCGCGAGAATTGAGCAAACGAATTTTTTATTATTATTTTTTAATATTAAAATTTGTAAGCATTATACAAAAATTCAGTTAATAATTAATATTTTAAAATATTTCAAAATCAATAATTTTAAGACATCAGTTACTTTCGATCAACATAAATATTTAAAAAATTCAATGCTGCCAACCAAAAACCTCTTTTGATCCAGCAATTTCTTTTTAATAAAACAGATGTTTTCGGCTTATTTTATCAGAAAAAAATACTTTTAAAATTTACTTAAAAATATTCTATACTATAGATTATTCACATTTGACGTCACAAATATTTTCTAAATTTGAGAAATTAATTAATAATTTAAATGACAGCGGAAATATTTTTAAACAAATAATAATTATATCATGTATATTAACGCTTGTTTAATATTTAAAATACTCAATTATTAACAAATGACGCAGCGGGTAAATTTTTTGAATCGAACCAATAATAGCAAAGAAAATATTTTGAATTTTTAAAAGTACACCAATTATATTCGACGCGTTCTAAAATTGTTTCCTATTAAATGATTTGAAAAAAAAAAAAAAACGAAATGGACGTATTTGAACTACAAGACGATATTAACACGTCTAGTATTTGGAAATCTCATTTGAATTTAGAAGAGAGAATTGCTATGGCTAATTCTTTAGAAGTAATAAAAGGGAAGAAAAATTTTCAGCTGGTTCAATTTTGGGGGAAAATTATTGGTAAGAATGCCACTTATTATATCCTTATAGGAAGAGGTGAAGATATTTTATTAGATAAAAGCTTTTATTACAGGTAAGTCATTGTATGTATGACTTAAAAACTTGTCGTATACTTTCTACCTTAACATCAATTTTTTTCCTGGTTACAGTTTTGATTGTTTGAACTGGAACGATTTACCTATTGCTAACAATACGTTTGATATAAATCTGATCAATTCTACTTTCGTCGGAGATCCTTCTTATATTTATAAAATCGATTCGAATCAGTCGGAGAGAGAAGTCAAAGATGAAGATGCAGAAGAAGATAAAGATATAAAAAATTCGGTAGAAACTTTAATAAAATACGTTCTTTATAAGATTTATAATAAGATATAAGCAAATAATTTAAATTTCTTTATTTGTATTGCTTGGTGAAAAATCCAAATCGCTCTCCTTAGTGGCGCATCTTCCTAAGGGCAATTTCACGGGACCCCATGAAATTGACAAATTAATCTTTTATAAGAAACTATTTCTACCAAAAAATACCCTCGAAGAAAAATACCTGAAGTCAATACTGTGCTGTACATGAGGCCCCCAATTCAAATTTGCCTGGGCTTGAAAGTATAACGCGCTACTGTCTCTGGGGCCTTGTCTTGGGTAGGCGTGAAAGAATTTAGGCATATTTATTAGTGAAGATATGTTTTTACTCTATCGGTGGAAAAAATGCTAAGAATAAATATTAACACTTACGAAGGAACATGTTATGATTTAGTTATAGATCATTGCGTATTGAAAATCATTTTACAGAATTAATTTCTCTCGGTTCACAACGATTCATAACAATATGGTTATGAATCCGTGTTTCTGCATAAGTAACCTATTATCAATATTTTCCCTTTAATATTTTTTTCCGCGATGGAGTAAAGACATATGTTTACCTATTCATCTAAAACTTCTTAAGAAATTGTATTGTTAGATTCAGAAGGGGGAAAAATATCAGTTTTAAATTAAAAATAAAATATTTTGTATTTGGGTAATATACATAGAAGTGTATTTGTTTATTGTTTTATCTATTTTCTTTATTTATTTGTCTGGAAACAAGTAGTATTTTCAAAAATACACTTCACTATTTTATTTGTTTTTATGTGAACTTTTACAAAATATTTTATCATTGTTAACGATTTGGATTAGATAAGTTTGTATAGTCTTTTTATAAACTTACAGACTGTATATTAATACACACACACACAAATATATACAGAATATATGCATGTGTATTTGTTAATTTTGTATAGATATAGATGGTTCAAAAGTCAATTAATCATTATAAAAACTAAATTTCTCTTTTATTTAAATACTTTATTACTTTAGTTAATAAACCATGTCTTACTCAATTCACATATTAGAATGGTTTAACAAATTATAATACTTTTTTAAAACACTTTGATAGGTTTTTTTCTACACTTCTACGGTTAACTGACTTTGAGCCACTCTGTATGTTTGTGTAAGTAATTCTATGTGGGTGCTTACCTACATATAAAATGTTTTAACTTCATCAAAATCCATAGGAGAGCATTTGATGTTCATAATTTAATATATTATAAATATAATAAAAAGGAAACTTAATTGAAAGATTAAATTGTCATCTTAGTTTTTTTTTCTATAAAAATCCAGAAATAATTTAAGGCATTCCTCTAAAGTTCTAAATATTTTCAAAACATTTTTTAGGAAAAATAATGGTTATTGAAGAAGGATAAATAATAAAATAATAATAATTTTCACTTTTGTCATCTGTTAAACTATAGTGATTGTGTCAAATAATGGTTTAAAGCATATATATTATGATTGTATTTGTTCTAACATCTAGATCAAAATTGCTGATAAATGCTCTACATATAGAATTTAGAAAAATAATAATAAAATGAAAAAAATGGCTCTGGTTAGATGTGAGGTTTTGAAATTATTAATGGGACAACTGGTTGTTACATGGTGTCTGGAGCTAGTTTTACACTATAACTAGTCACTCTGGCTGAATTTTAATGCTTTACTTTATTCTGAATACATGCTAATGATAATTTTAAATTATATATTTATATATTAAGTTATATTTATAATTATAATAATTATTTAAAAGTGTTTATTATTAATACGTTAATAAATTTAGAAGCGTATTCTGTTAATCAAATAGAATTTTAAGATTTTAATGAAATTTATTTACTGAATCTCCGATAACGGCTACCTCTAAATGGCGGCCATTTTTCCAGAAACATATAAAGTAATCTCTAAAGAATGGCCACCTGCGAACAACGGCCATTTTTTTTTATGTCGCCTTCAAGGCCATTATTCAGAAGTTCGACTGTATTAAAAAAATATCTGTATCTGTCAATAATAAAATTGTATTCTTAAAATTGATATTCATTTGATTAAAACTTTAGAAATGTCAAATTTAATTAATACGAAAATTTATTTTATTAAATTTATATATATACATATACATATATATACAAATAATAACGCCTGATTCATTGGGCCGTAAGTTAGTTAATTAAATATACAGATATTACGTAACTTGAACTAAAGATAGGGCCATTAATTCGCCATCCGGCATTATCATTTGATTATCAATAAATAATTCGGGCTTGGTTTATATATAAATACATTGTATACACTATACAGTAAAATACAGCACAGTACAATACAAAAATTTATTATATCAATATGTACAGTACAAAACAATACTATATAAGCCATTTACTATATAACGCATATAGTAAATGGATTAACCCATTTATATAATAATCTACACTAGAAAATGCGAATTAAAATCTTAAAATAATTAAATTAGGATCAATCTTAATTAATTAATTATTTAATTCTTTACGCCGAGAAGATTAATTTCTCCTCTCTTCAACTTTTAAGATTTATTTTTCAATTTTTGTATTAGTAAAACTTAAATATTTGTGTTGTACTTGTACGTACACTTAATTGACATTTTATATTCTTGTATTAATTCTGTTTGGTTTTGTATTTAGTTCTGTTCTTAAACAGAACAATAACTTTGTTCTTTCGCTGTGAGACACTTGAGGTGTTTATAAAGTGAAAATGTCAGCAAGTATTTAAAATGAATTATTGTAACACTAAGTTAATTGTTCTCTTACATACTATCTATTGTTTCGATGTCCTGTTAAAAACCAAGACTAAATAATATTAACTGTTAGAATTATATAGAAAATTCTTCCCGAAACATAATTTATTCCTGTAAATTTAACAAATGGGTTATAGTGATAAATTAGTCATTCACTTCTATGTTTCGAAAGTAAGATAGTTCCTTTCCAGAGCAATTTATGTATCACAAAGAATTGTATTAATTTTCACGATGTCTTTGAACTTATAAAGAAAAGACTTTCAGTTTTTTCTAAAATATATTTTTCTGATTTTGTCTCTTTTTATTCTCGGATTTTATGAAGTTTTCCTTATTATTTCGTGAATTTAATTATAACTTTTAATTGTAAGATGGTGTAGACTGGATCGAAAGTGTTTGCGTGTAATAAAGTTATAAGCTGGCGAGACGATATTAATTTTTATTTTGTAAGGATCAATCCACGAGGAACTGCAGATTCTTCATTGACACATACACACAAAAAAGCATTGTTTTTAAAAACATGATGATTTATCAGACCGTCCTCAATACCGGCTGGTACGTGTTAATTTAATAAATGGTACCTGTACTTATAATTATTCAAATATTTTTGAGTTAGCCCCTTTCGATTTTTCTGGATCTGTCACTGTTATTTTGTAAATTTTAATTTTATCAATAATTTCATATAGTTTTTTCATAAATACTAAAGCAGTGATTCAAACTTCTAGTCCTCTATTAACAAAATGGCATCCTTCTAGATTGAAGAAAGATTCTCGTTATGTAGGCCTTCTGCATTCTATTGTATCTTTCAAAAAACCCGTTTTATTTATTGCCAACTTCATTTCCATTACAATAAACCTCCGTGTTATTTAATTATCCGATTAATATCAGTTACGTTAACAAGGTTGTAGTTAATGACTATCAGGCTATTGTCATTGTAGAATCATAAGTTCAACAAAGAAATTCTAGTTCTACCGGAAATGTGGAGAAGTAGAATTTTACATTAAATTCAATAAAGTTTTCTTGTCTTTTTTTTTTGTCAATTTAGATGTACGAAGAAGAAAGAATTGCAGAAGTAGTTGCAATGATAGAAGACGAGGTAGCTATAGCGCCCATTGGTGCTTACATTCAAACAGTGGATGGCACAGTCAAATCGAATCCTTCTTTTTCTGGTCTTTCTAAACATATGGCCATTCGTGCATCGTCTTACGTTCATCTACGTAAGCCTGCCTCATCTTGGACCGGACGACTATGGAAGAATTTAGAATTCCTTCAACCAATTACAGAAGATATCATATCTGGTTAGTAGACTGTAACTTTATACATCTCCATAATCGCGATTATAAATATAGCCTTACGACTAATTAAAATTGCAATATCTAGATCAGTGGATGGTTCGTCTAACACCGAATCATAGCTCCATAATGATCATGAATTACCTTTGGCCCGGTATGGTTTTCTATCATAAAATTCAAACTAAGTCCTTCTCACAGTTGTATATAGGAGACGGGAGACGAAACAATGATTTGCAATTCATGTTCTGAGCTTCGATATTATTATGCTTTGAATAAAACATGTTTAGAATATAAATAAATAATTTATAATTTAAAATGTATTCGATTTATGGCTCCAAGTGGACCTTGCGTTTTAAGTGTACTGATTTATTATTTCTGTTAAAGAAAGAGAGAAAAATGAGTAAATATTTTAATTTATTTTACTAAGTATCAACAATATCGTTGTTCATCAGAAACATATTTAAAGCAAATATATATATTTTTTTGTTCGACATTTATTTTTAGGAACATTTAATAAAGAATTGGCTTTTTTATTATTTACACTTGAGCTGCAGCAATGGCTCCATTCGCTGAAGAGGGACTAAGAAACGGACTTGTAACTGTTGTTACTTCAACAACGGCTTCAGGTACTTGAAGATGAGCACTGCATTGTCCGACAGTCATAGGCTGTTGATGTTGAGGCGTCACACACAAACGAATATTGGAAGCGTAACTCGTAACTGCTGCACCGTTAGGAGAATGCTTCTGTAGAGTCCTGCTTAATTTTGGTAATAAATCGTCTAATATTTTAAGAAACGCCGCGCGAAATTCGGCATTTCTAAAACCGTAGATCCACGGATCTACTGCACTGTTAGATAGGAGTAAAAGTCCTAAAAAGAATGTTGCGTGTATACCAATATCTCCTATCAGTATGCAAACGTTAAACGGGCACCATAACAGCAAAAATAGTCCTACTGTGACTGCTAGTGTCCTTCCGTAACGAGCTTCGCCACTCCCCGTAGATTGACTTTGCCTAAACGATACTTCTACCGAAAATATTGCACGGGCGTGAGAACGAGCTATCACATAGACGTAACCGTAACATCCCACGATGACGAGAGTACATGGCGCAAATAGAAAACAAAATAGAAAGATACGCACTTTATAAGAAATCACATTGAAGGAGCAGCGAGCAGCAAGTTGATCTTGCCAGTGCCAGGCCACAATTGGGACGGAAGCGGTTAGTAACGAGTAAATCCAAAACGCGCTAACGTATCTTCCCACACTCCTATGCGTTATAATGTTGTTGTAACGTAGCGGAGATGCCAAAGACGTGTAACGATCCACTGCAACGGCAGTTATACTCAACAGTGACACACTGCATAGAAGAATGAGAACACAATACGGGAAGACGCACAGAAGATCACCGATTTCTTCGTCTTTGGATATTTCAAAGTAAAGTCCAAAAGGTAAACATAAGCCAACACCTAAATCTGCAGAAGCTAGAGACAACAAGAAATAATTACTGGGATTTCGTAGGCGTTTGAACTTGTGGATTGCCACGATTAACAATGCGTTGCTGCAGATGATAAGCGGTGACAGAACGAAGACCAGTAAGGCCGCTGTCGTTACGTATCCCAAAGAATCCCACGGACCGGCGGGTGATAAAATGGCATCGACTGTCGAAGAGTCATCACTGATATTACGAATTGAGGGCGAGTCGCTAATATTTCCTGTTGTCATTTCTGTAAAGAAAACGAACAGAATTTAAATTTTCTCATCCTTGGGTGGGGTGAATGCGAACAACTAATGACACATACGGTATACATATATATAAGTTACACACCATTTCTTTATTCAGGAAATTATAATATAGGTCTGTGACCCATATCAAAATAGGCCTAATGAATTCCAGTTTTCTCGGCTTTTTATCTCCATTTTAGACAATTAATTATTATTTATTTGTTTTAAAATAAAGAATTCTTATTAAATTACGTGTTTATTAAATTAAAAAGCGATTTAAAAAATAATAATAAAAGGAGGAAGATTTTTTGATCTTTTCCTGCTTAACAGTAGGATAACAAATATTGTTTTCGAAAGTTTTCCCGTAAACAATGCAAATCATTATTATTAGTGAAACGAGGTGATCGTTCGTATTTTACAAAATAGTGACCTTAATAGCCAATCGTTTTGGATATTCATAGAAATTATCGAAGCGGGCTGAGTGACCACAGACACAAGTGAAAAGTAGGTCAAAGCCGCCTTTCGGTAGCCAACAAGAGTCGATTGCATCACAATACCACGAGGAAAAAAATAATAAAAAAACAAAGAAAAATTCTTCTTCTCCTTTGCACGGCTTTATTACTTTATTTAAAAAAGAATCCGCAGCTTTATTATGAAGTTTGTTATAGAAACTAAACTTATCCGGACTCTTACATTTTCGAATTGGGTCGGTGCTGCGTAAGAGAAAGATTTGGGACGTGCGACTAGAGCTTTAGTTAAAATGACTTTTACGACCTTGTTTCCTGAGGAAGACAGTAACTAAAATCCTGTCACCATTAACTCCATACGTAAAATCGGGTAATATACCGTATTAAAAGAGTTATCCGGACATTAAATCGCGACTTTTTCCGAATTCGATACTAATCTTTCGAAGGAGGAAAAAAAAAAAATATAAGTAACTTCGAAGGAAAATTTCATTTGAAAGAAAAGATTATATCGAACGCCTAGTGGCACTTACGGAAAATCGATAGAAAGTTCGAAACGAAAGATTTTCTGCATCGTTGAATACTGCAGCAAAAATCACTTGTCTCATACGTCAGATGAGGAATTTCGGGGATATGCGCGGTTGCACTTTGTCGCGCTCCATTCTAAGACACGTATCAGTTTACCCTCTTCTACAACACCAACTGTAACCTTACGACTAGATTGCTACCGACGGCACTTTATGTACTGTACGTTTTATCAGTACGGCAGCATCCCTCAATAAAGAAAACATCATCTTCTCTTATAACAAAGAAATAATAAATTCCCAGTTTTAGTGGATAACTCAGCAACCTTTACAGACTACTCGAGTTTGAAGGGTATGTCGAATTTACTAAAACGTATCGCTTTCAGCTAAGATAAACTGCAGTAATAACCACTTTTGTTCCGGCTCGAGCATTAATTTTGTCAGTTGTCATCGTAGTTAAGGATCGATAAGGGGTTCTTTTAAACAATTTAATTACGGGCGGCGCCAGAGACAGAAGTGCATAATATAAACTTTTCTTCCATGCGTAACACGAGTCTCCGTAGACGTGACTTCAGAAAAAAAAATTTAACACGAACAACAAAGTTATTTTCGTGGTCGTTCGGTGCCGCTTGCGCAAAACGACCTCCAGAAAATGGCTGCAATTGTTAATGATTAAGCTAAACAGTGCAAGAAGCTGTGTACAACATTGTGTATCACGTTAGGGAAGGTGTCCGAATGAGATCGATAGAACACGACCTCCAGACTCAGTGACTCCACAATGGTCACAAGCTTCAAAATACGATCGATTATAGAAGAAATCCATCTTTTCTACTTCCGTACTAAACAAATTCCTCTACTGCTTCGAAACTTTGTTTTTTTTTTTTTCTGTTTAAGGTCTCGAACGACATAGGGCGGTCACGGACTGAAGCCATTGAAACCTTCCTTGTCCCATATCCTATAACGGTTTTTATTCCACGACCCTGCAGGATCTTCATATAAAATGTAAAGAAAAACGGTCATTGATTTCTGTAGTGTTTACCGTGATTAATTAATCGAAACTTTATTTTTAATCAATGTTTTACATCCTTGACACGTCACCTTGAAGGGTTTGATAAAAGGTGCTGCATTCCTTTTGTGGAGTTCAGAGCGTCCACAGATTTCCTAATCAGTTTAAAGCGTTACATTAACCTCCTTTCATCTACAGGCAACTCCACCTGTAAATGAAATGTTGGAATTTTAATTTAATTCGATTTCCCAAATGAAATTTTTTTTCTTCTTTTGAATTAAAACAGGAAATCGAATGATGCTTAACGACTATTGACATATGTGTAACCTCTAAGAAGACATAATATAAAAATTTTTAAGAGCACTTAACTCTAAGAATTTAGATGAAAGGATTATTAATTTTTGACGGATTAATTTTTTCCTATTACCTTCATTACGTTACTCGGTAACAAAGTTTCATTAGCATGAATCCTTCTATGAAGGTAATTCTTCTTTAAACAGGATTTCTATGTTGTTTTTGGTCAAGGATATTCGTTTAATTTCCTCTTTTTTTGGCAGATAGGAAGCGGGTTTATATAAAAATATTCAAGTTATATATATTAAATGATTTTATTTTTATTTTTCTCTTTTCTTAACGCATCGTATGTTACGACCTACACTTTTTTTTAATCGTAACTTTTTTTAATGCTCCAACAAATTCCCATTACTTAAAATTTCTCCAGGTTATATTCGTCAGAGTTCAGCTATTAGAAAGTACTTTGCATCTATTTTTAAATGATAATTCCCGGCTTAGAAATTACTGCTTAAATAATCACGCCTGAAATTACTTTAAAAAGTATCTCAAATATTTACTGATTTATCTAAAATATTCGTTATAAGGAATATGAAACGAGTGTTAACCTACCCTTCCCCCTAAATTCATCTTCCCCTACTGACCAAGATTAAAATTAAATCGTAATAAATATAATCTAAAATTATATTTATTCTAGTTTAATTCTAAACATTAGGACTAGACACATAAGCCAACAATATAACAGGCCCTAAGCTTAAAAAGTTGCAGCTTAGGCCCTTTAAACTTATCAGTATTTTGAGAGTAGGAAAGGGCCTCATATGTTAATTTTAGTATCACAAGTCTAAATCCGACCCCAAAAAACTTGTTCAAATAAAACTATAAATACTTCTAAATTTTATGATATTTTATAAAAATCTGCATTTCCAAAATCAACTATGCATCTACAATTTATAATATCAGTATGTACTGTACAGTACATAATGTACGTAATTATAGAAGGCCTTTCTATGAAGGGCCCAACTGTAAACATTTTTTTGATTTTTTAATATATTGGAAGCCTCAAAAAAGAATATATGAATACTGTATTTCAAAGGCCTGTTTATAGTTTCAACTATTCTAAGTATGATTGTAAATATAGTCAAACCTCAATATAGTGTTATATAAAATAGCGTCATCCTTGTAAAACGCCAATTCCATAAATATTAAATAGAGAACCTTTTATCATCTGTGAATTACTAAATGTTTTATTTTTCATTGCATATGACACCGTTATGTTTTTTGCGCATATACAGTACAGTTTACGTCAGCATGTATCGTATGACGTATATCACTCCGTCATCTAATTACATATGTACGCGCGAAATTCAAATGTTTTAAATTTAAACCGCCTAACTGACATTCTTTTAAAGTTATCCTACAACCCAACGTTTTGCTTTACCATTGAAACCCATTGAATTTTTAAATTCTCAAAATCGTTTGAATTAATTGGATTAAAGTTATTGTAAATGTTACATTTATTAATTTTATAACGTAACATTTATTCCAGTCATTCTCAAGCATCTCGTAAATTATATATATAGAAATAAATTTAATAATGATTGATTAGATAAAATAGAATATTATAAAAGTTGATTGAATGTCTGTGACGTAATAGACTTTAATAAGAATTGCTCGCAGACGGAAGTAAGTAGTGTGCATTTCGATCTACAAATCTTATTGTATATCACTGGCACTTTTAACATAAAAAATGCACATTTCAGGCCTTTTAGCGTGCATAGAGCAGTGCATACATTTGGCATGTAACGTGCATAAAGCAGTGCGTTTTTATGTGCTTATGTATGTGCATGTGCATACATTTCGATTTTAAACGCATATAAATCCGGTCCTTACTCGTTACCCATTACTATACATAATTCATATTACCAGTTTTTTTAGAGATACTTCAGTTTAGCACCATATTCGAAGTAGTGCCAATTTATAAGGTGCTAAACCGAAGTTTGTACTTTAATGTTCATCGTGTAAAGTGTAAACAGTAGATCCAATAGTCTAACAATGTCTAACGTAACTTAATACTACATTTTAACAGAAGATCAAGTATTCTCTGTGTAATGTCATTCCACGTTATATATTGCAAAATATAATGCGTATAATATTACTTTTCGACTAAATATTCGAAGATAGAACGTAATAAAGTAAATTTTAAAAAATAACAGTAATCTAGTCAAGAATTCGAGTGTTTCCGAGTTTATTTTCACTCAAAAACTGTAAAATAATACATCGAAGTGGCGTACTTTCACGAAAAAATCAATTCTAATTCCAACAAACTAATGGAGTTTCAAGGTGAATTAAAAAATAAAAATAAAGTAACTAACCGCAACTGTAAGGAAATTAATGGTGTTAATGCTACAGCATCAATATCAATAATGTTATTGTAGGCAGCGCCTTCTTGTATAATTAATAGGAAAGTTAAAAAAAGATGGCAAACATCATTCTTATTCATTGCTGAATGAAGAAGGGAAGCGATTTGCATCTATAAAAACGATAATTATTTATAAAAACAAATCGAAAGAAATAAAGAATTAAAATATTCCTGTGTATTTTATTATAAAAAAGACAATTAAAATAAGATAATTTAATCAGAGAAGCAACAAATTGTAATTGTTACACTGGAGATTTTTTCGCTCTTACTTCCAGTGTAAAGTCTAAATCAATAGTCTCTTACTAAAAATAAACTGTAAAAATTAAAGCTTCTATATAAAAATTAAATAATTTAAATGATTTTACTGTAAATTATTATTAATTTTTAATAGAATTCTATTATTTTTCAGTGTCTTTTTAAATACAAATCGATGGGACAGGTTTGAGCATAAGCTAAACAAGCCTCACGTCGTATCTACACCTTAGGACCTCAAATTTTTATATATATAATTATTTGGTACAGGGGAAGGGCCTGTTATATATTATATAATAGGCCCTTCCCTTGTTATATAACATAGGGCCATAACAAGTCTAAGTTCTCAATTGAACATAGCTGAAATGGAAGAAGGAAAAAAAAAAACGCTCAAAAAATTTGAATTTTAAAGATTTATTAATTAATTAAAATTAATGGAAAGTTAAAAATTAATTAATTTATAGTAATATATTTAATTGGCGTAATTTATTAATTAAAAAAAAATAGAAGTTTCATTCACCGTATTGCGTTTTAAACGCGAAACTTCAAAT